AATTTTTCATTATTATAATTATTTGTATTATTTTTATGGTGTATAGGCTATCAGGGTTGTCACCGGACCTTTTTTGGGGTCATCCTAGGTAATTTACACTATGTATGATAATTGTACTTATGTGTACCTGTGCCTAAATAAACTTACTAACTTACAAGTCAGACAGTATAGCTTATTTCAGTTTCCTAGCGGTAACAAAAAAAAAAAAGTGCGCAACCCGCCCAAAATCGTTGAAAGGATAGGCTATAAGGTGAGTTATAATAGAGCCTAAGACTGAACGAACACTGCGGTAGGCCTATTGGCTCATGCTAGGCAGGTCCAGTTTACGCCCAACCACACACATTCCTGTCCAACTGATATTTATAGTAATCATCTACAACCTTACTGTCAAAGCAGTACTTCCCTATATCCTTTCTAAATCTAAATATGTCCAATTTGAATACATTGCAACGAGCCTTCTCTCGGTTATATACTTTCAGCATATATGAAGTAAATATAGGTGGAGGTGTCGTAGCAAAAAAGCTCAAAAAAACATTAACATAAAAAAATGTGAATTCAAACATTAATAAGTTTTCAATTTACATAGTTGGACCAAATTACTAGGAAGATTTACTAGCATCATAAATTAAGAAAGTGTAGGGATACTAGAAGTGGTAATAAGCGTTACAGCCGCTGAAAGCTTAAAAATATATGATAAAAAAAAATACCATACACGAGACACCACAGACTTAGCTGTGCTCCAGTAGTTACTAATAAGTAATTACAAAAGGTAATGAGCACATACACATTTCTGCTTTATTAAGCACGATTGAGACCATGGTCACACTTCACAGAAGTCATTGTACTGATCATCAGATACTTTCTAAGTAATTACGTCATAAATCATGAGAAACTGAGCGTGGCTGCACACTCGGTCTCTTTCAATGTAATAAGTTTAGTTCAGTAATATTTAGTGGGTTCTCACAAAAACCACTCCTTCACCCACACCACTCCTTCACCCACACCGCTCCTTCACTCACGCCACTCCTTCACCCACACAACAGCCACTTCAACCACACAACCACCACACCTACAACCACTACTTACCCACACAACACCCACTCCATCCACACAACAACCACTCGTTCACCCACACAACAACCACTCCTTCATTCACACAACAACCACTCCTTCACCCACACAACAACCACTCTTTCACCCACACAACCACTCTTTCACTCACACAACAACCACTCCTTCACCCACACAACAACCACTCCTTCACCTTCACAATAACCACTCACATACACAGCTACCCTTCACCAACACAAGAACCACACCTTAATCCACACAACCACTCCTTCACTCACGCAACAACACTCCTTCACCCACACAACCACTCCTTCACATACACAACACACTCCTGCACCCACACAACAACCACCCAACAACCACTCCTTCACCCGCACAACAATACTCTTTCACCTACACAAAAACCACTCTACCCACACAACTACTCCTAACCCACACAACAACTACTCCTTCACCCCACACAACTACTCTTCACACCTACACAACAACCACACCTTCACCTACTCAACAATCACTCCTTCACCTACACAACAACCACTACCTCACCCCCATTATTATTATTATAATCAAGGGGGAAGCGCTAAACCCGGAGGATTATACAGCGCCTGGGGGGGGGATATGTGGAAGGCATTCAGGCTTAATTCGGGGAACTGGAGCACAGATCCAATTCCCTAAATCAAGAGCCCCTCACCAACATCAAGGAACCTTCCTTGAGGGGACCTCACCCCCAACAATTCTTTCCTCGCAAAGCATTTGCGTTGAAACCCAAAACGTATGACGGTTGGTCAGGGTATGTACTTAATTAGCACATCAACATCCTGATATGGCGCGCACACACACACACACACACACACACACACACATAGGATGTTCCAGAGATGGGACACAGCAACAAGGGGACACAGTTGGAAGTTGAAGACACAGATGAATCACAGGGATGTTAGGAAGTATTTCTTCAGCCACAGAGTAGTCAGGAAGTGGAATAGTTTGGGAAGCGATGTAGTGGAGGCAGGATCCATACATAGCTTTAAGCAGAGGTACGATAAAGCTCATGGCTCAGGGAGAGTGACCTAGTAGCGACCAGTGAAGAGGCGGGGCCAGGAGCTTGGACTCGACCCCTGCAACCTCAACTAGGTGAGTACAACTAGGTGAGTACACACACACACACACCACACACACACACACACACACACACACACACACACACACACACAAGACACACACACACACACACACACACACACACACACACACTGCAAAGACTGCAAACCTGGCTCAAGGAGAAAGATCGTGGGGTGAGTATAACACCGAGCACGTCTCCGGAACCACACATCAACCAGATAACTGCTGCAGCATGTGGGCGCCTGGGAAATCTGAGAATAGCGTTCCGATACCTTAGTAAGAAATCGTTCAACACACTGTACACCGTGTACGTCAGGCCCATACTGAAGTATGCAGCACCTGTTTGGAACCCACACTTGATCAATCACGTCAAGGTTAGTTCCAGAGCTAAGGGCAATGTCCTACGAAGAAAGGTTAAGGGAAATCGGCCTGACGACACTGGAGGACAGGAGGGTTAGGGGAGACATGATAACGACATACAAAATACTGCGTGAAATAGACAAGGTGGACAGAGACAGGATGTTCCAGAGGGGACACAAAAACAAAGGGTCACAATTGGAAGGTGAAGATCCAGATGAGTCAAAGGGATGTTAGGAAGTATTTCTTCAGTCATAGAGTAGTCAGGAAGTGGAATAGCCTAGCAAGTGAGGTAGTGGAGGCAGGAACCATACATAGCTTTAAGAGAAGGTATGATAAAGCTCATGGAGCAGGGAGAGAGAACCTGGTAGCACTCAGTCAAAAGGCGGGGCCAGGAGCTGAGTCTCGACCTCTGCAACCACAATTAGGTGAGTACACACATTGAAGAGGCGGGGCCAGGAGCTATGTCTCAACCCCTGCAACCACAAACAGGTGAGTACACACATACACACAGAAAGCTGTGAATCGACCCCTGCAGCCACAAATAGGTATGAATACACACACACACACACACACACACACACACACACACACACACACACACCACACACACACACACACACACACACACACACACCCACACACACACACACACATATTGGAATATGCGGCACCAGTTTGGAACCCACATCTAGCCAAGCATGTAAAGAAACTTGAGAAAGTGTAAAGGTTTGTAACAAGACTAGTCCCAGAGCTAAGGAGTATGTCCTACGAGGAGAGGTTAAGGGAAATTGACCTAACGACACTGGAGGACAGGAGAGATAGGGGGGACATGATAACGACATATAAAATACTGAGAGGAATTGACAAGATGGACAGACAAAATGTTCAAGAGCTGGGACACAGCAACAAGGGGACACAGTTGGAAGTTGAAGACACAGATGAATGACAGAGATGTTAGGAAGTATTTCTTCAGCCACAGAGTAGTCAGGAAGTGGAATAGTTTGGGAAGCGATGTAGTGGAGGCAGGATCCATTCACAGCTTTAAGCAGAGGTATGATAAAGCTAATGGTGCAGGGAGAGTGACCCAGTAGCGGTCAGTGAAGAGGCGGGGCCAGAAGCTATGACTGGACCCTTGCAACCACTAGGTGAGTACACTCACACGAACAGGCCAAGTGTCTTAGTGACAAGTGCCTTGGACAAATTAGTAACTAACACTCTTGGGTGAGGCATGGAAATAGGCAGATTGTGCTGGAGACAGGACTGACAGACAATATACTTATGCGCTGGAAAGGTTAGCTGTTGATAAAATATTGCATATGTATGGACTGAGTGCATATACAGACACACCTCTGAATATACTATGAGATACACACCTTTCCGTATATATAAGCCTAACACACACCTATCAGTATATCTATGCGAAAGATACACACCTCTCAGTATATGTACGCTTAAGATACACACCTCTCAGTGTATATACGCTAAGATACAAACTTCTAGATGTATGTATTTTAACGAAAATGGCCGTATCAGAGATTATACAATGCATGAATTTAAAAAATGTATATGAAACAATAATAATTTTGTCCCACTTTAGCGGAAACCTGACCCGCGGCCCTGTGTGTGAATCCACTGATCAACCACCCGGTCATGTTGGTTACAATAGGAAGCTTGACAACCTGTCTTATACAGGTAATGCCTTTGGGGCTTCCATCTGCAACGCGAGTTACAAGTTTTTATAGCCATCTTCTTACACCAGCAACTCATTTGATTTGCAACTCGAAGCGCAGCTGCCGCCACGTGGTGAATTCTGGGTATTTTAGATGACTAGTGAATCAGTTGTGCAAAATAGCAGTGCTGCTGTATAATATATATATATATATATATATATATTATATATATATATATATATATATATATATATATATATATATATATATATATATATATATATATATATATAAATATATATATATATATATATATATATATATATATATATATATATATATATATATATATATATATATATATATATATTATATATATATTGTCTGTGTTTGGGCAAAATATACATGCATGAGACGAAATCGGATTAAATCTCATTCCACAAGTTCTGTATGATGCATGAGGGCTTAGTCCTCAAAGGGAATATAATAATGATTAACAAAAGCTTGGTAAACGTGGGTAAAAAGTAACTAGTGAGTGCTAATTGTAAGTAATTTCTTATTGAGTAGCATGACCTTAGTTCCTAGTTTGGCCTTCTTATTCAGCGTTTTTTGTAATTAGCGTGGTTCTAATAGTTTGTAGCTGCAAGTGTTCCCAATAGCAACATTGGTATTTCTTGTTTTATGTTCCTAGTAAGTAATGTGGCACTAGTATTTAGTGTTCCTAATAGCTAGTGTAACACTAATAGAGTTGCTAGTGCAACACTTTGACACACTCACATGAAAAAGAGTCCCCTCTTGGCCTGACGGTCATGGTTGTAGAGGAGCCAAGCCTCCGGGATGAAGTGTCGTGGGTAAGGGCCCTCGGCTGCGAAGACCTGTCTCACAGTGGCAGGATCACTCACGAACACCATCTCAGATCCTCCCAAAGTCTCCCTGAAGATGCCTCCCAGTTCCCGGTGGCGCTGGGAGATGTATCTGTGGTGGTACTGCACTCCCCCCGCCGCCAGGAAGCTGGGTAGTGTCCCCAGGAGAGGATATCCTCGGGGTGTTGGGATCTCCTCGTAAGTCTTAACTTTCGTAGGGACTACAGGCCGAGGAGTGGCTGATGGAGCTTGCTCTCCTACAGGTGTCTTAAGATCCTCCAATGTGGCGGCGAGGGAAGCTCGGTGCCTCCTCTGAACCGCCTGCTGGGAAGAACTAACCCGACGAAAGTGTCGTTGAAGTACTACGGGAACAACACTCGCCATGCTGTGATAGTCCGGAGTGTCGAGAGAAGCCGAAGTTCTCCACTCGGTTACTGTCTAGTGTGAAAGTGCTCTACAGGTTCATTCCTTGCCGCCAATGCGATGCTTGACAGGCATAAGGGTGGACTGAGGCTGGCAAGACCAGGACTCAGGCTTTAAGAGTGACCTGACCCACCACGCAAGTTGCCCATATAGCGCCCTCACAGCTTTCGTAGCGTTCGATTTTCGTAGCGTTAGTGTACAAGCCGGCAAGCGGAATGTTTGATAGTTATGAGGTAAACGTAAACCGTGATTTGGCTATCCAGTGTAACTGTGTATGAAGGAGCCGCAAGGAAGTGGTGTAGAGTGCAGTAGTAGTGTGTATCATACGTCAGGCAGCACAGCGTCAGATATGAATGGTAGAGAGTGGGAGAGGGAGGGGAGAGGGAGGGGAGAGGGCGGGGAGAAGGCGGGGAGGGGAGGGGTTGGGGAGATGGGGGGAAAATATTGGAGAGAATTATTGTTGTTGTTGTTGTTACCAGGGGGAAACGTTTAAACCCATTAGGTGTCAAACAACTCATTGGGAATAGGAGGCAATCAGGATCGATCCCAAAGGAGGATAGTTCCACTTTTTCGGATGAATAGCCCCTTTTGAGGGAAAGGAGAGGAGGGAAACGGAGGAAAGAATTTGTTTTTCATGTAAAGAGCTAAACACTGGTGGGTCATAGGAGGGATGAGAGGGAGAATGGAGACAAAAGACAATAGATGGAGGTATTCAGGTTTGATCCGAGGGGAGGATAAGTGCCATTCCTCGGATCAAGAACCCCTCACCGGCATCAAGGCACCTCCATCGAGGGGAGTATTTTGCCTCAGTGAATATGAATATGTGCTTGCTTATATGAATGCTCTCTCTTGCAACTACCAGCATATTAGCCTAGTATTATATTGACAGCCTAGTGCAGTGTCCTTCAAACTTTTTTTTTTCCACAATCAAGTACAGTTATATCTCACCCTTACCACACTACGCTAGTGTTCAGTCAAAAATTAAAAAAAAAAATCCTGAATTAGAATCTTAAGCAATAAAACAGAAATCTAATTTAAACCTTTTGACTCGTGAGTCAAGGCGCAGTTATTATTATTATTATAATCAAGGGGAAGCGCTAAACCCGGAGGATTATACAGCGCCTGGGGGGATGTGGAAGGCATTCAGGCTTAATTCAGGGAACTGGAGCACAGATCCAATTCCCTAAATCAAGAGCCCCTCATCAACATCAAGGAACCTTCCTTGGGCCCAGGCGTGGAGTGTGTCCAGTGTCTGTTCTGGAAACTGCAGGAGCGGAGTGTGCAGCACCTGTCCTGGAAGCCGCAGACGTGGTCCTGGAAGCCGCAGATGTGGTGTCCAGCACCTGTCCTGGAAGCTGCGGGAGTGGAGTGTTTGCAGCAAATATCCTGGAAGCGGCAGGCGTCGAGTATGTCTAGCACCTGCCCTGTGAGCTGCAGGAGTGGAGCGTGTGCAGCACCTATCCTGTGAGCTGCAGGAGTGGAGCTTGTGCAGCACCTATCCTGTGAGCTGCAGGAGTGGAGCTTGTGCAGCACCTATCCTGTGAGCTGCAGGAGTGGAGCGTGTGCAGCACCTATCCTGTGAGCTGCAGGAGTGGAGCTTGTGCAGCACCTGCCCTGTGAGCTGCAGGAGCGGAGCGTGTGCAGCACCTGTCCTGAAAGCTGCAGGAGTGGAGTGTGTGCAGCACCTGTCATGGAAGCTGCGGCAGTTCCCCCTACCCCTTTCTCACTTTCTCCGAATTTTGCGAATTTATTTATGGTTTGTTTTCGTGACCTTTCCCAATATATATATTTTACCAAATTTGGCTGATATATGATTAATGTTTCCTATATTATATATATATATATATATATATATATATATTATATATATATATATATATATATATATATATATATATATATATATATATATATATTATATATATATATATATATATTATATATATATATATATATATATATTATGCCCGTTTCTTCATTTATTCAGACTTCCTACAATAAGTATGTGAACCACTCTAAGCAAAGGACGAAAATATTTTAAGGTAAGTAATGTGTGTACTGTATATACATTTTTAAGGCCTAGCTCTATTGCTCACTTATATATGATAGTGTAAACATGTTATCAGGCTTTTATATGCATTTGAAAGTAAAAGCAAAAAAAGCTTCAATTTACAGCGATTTTAGCTTTACAGCAGTAGCCCGGAACCTAGCCTGCTGTATAGCGGGGTCCTCCTGTGTATCGTGTTTGACAATGTGATTTTACATCTAATATGGCCGACATGATAAAAGAACAAGTGCCGTCACATACAGAACCTCACTATAACCTTCACCAGAGACGTAAAACTGCTTGCCCTCGAGTGAGGGGCAATGATCGCAATACCCATAGTGATAATTACTAACATGTTTTGAAATAAAAAGAATAATTAGGAATTGAAGAATTAAGACTCACTTCGTCTGTCCCAATTTGCTCCATGTATGATCTTTTATAAAGAGTTACAGTATGATCTATACAAACTTATCTTTTGTTTCTTTTAATAATAAAGTTACGTAAGTAATTACAGGAGAAAGTGTTCTGTACATCACCTACAGGATGTGGTTACTTGCCCGCAAGGATACATATATATATAAACCAAGGTGTTTTTCTCAATGTATACATATTGAGATTTGAGATACAAGCATCTCGGTACATATACGCTAAAAGGTACACCTCTCAGAGTACATGGATGGAAATAAATGGTATATAATACCGACACAATGGAAATATAAACGCATATACAGTATAATGTGATCCTTTATTGACAACGTTTCGCCCACACAGTGGGCTTTTTCAAGTCACAAACAGATCTGTTTGTGACTTGAAAAAAAGCCCACTGTGTGGGCGAAACGTTGTCAATAAAGGATCACATTATACGGCATATGTGTTTATATTTCCATTCTCAGAGTACATATTTTGGGAGATGCACACTTCTTTGTGTATATACACTGATAGATGAAACTCCCAGGGTTTATACACACAGATAGATACACACCTCTAGGTGAATGAAAGAACACAATTGCATACTCTTCTTAAGACATCTTTACTGGATACATTTCGTTCCTGGGATTTTAGTCATTCCAAACGATACAAGAGAATGAGAGAACACAGTGACTGTTGAAGTTCGGGTGAAAGCGTCAGGTCATTTAATAAACATAATACGTGGCAGCAGGTAATCAGTGTGGAGTAGGTTCTCATGCTCAAATGTAGTCGAGATGATATATTTGCCAGCTCTTTGTTCTATGGTGTTGGATGTAGCAATTAAAGTGCATGAGATGGCCCAATTAAATCTTGACAAGATACAAACAGTACTAGTGTCATCCTAGTTACACGAATTTCTGTGTTCTCGGAACTGTGTGGACAGATTTTTGGTTAGTTGTCTAACTAGTTTCTGTGAGGGACTTCCAATATCTGATGTGATAAGACGGATATTAATCACAGGTTTGAGTGCCTTTTGGAGTCCGAATACCCTGTTCAGTACTATGAAGGGTGCGGCGTGTTTTCTGTAGGAATATCGTGGTGTATTTATGCAGCTGTCACTGTGATGGGTTGATAAATCTGGGTATTGTTCAGAAGGTCGAGGATTTTGTCGTTGTAATCATTCACTTGGGTTAATGGTTACAACACCACCTCCTTTGTCTACTGATATGTATGCTGTCGTTAAGGCCAACGCATACACCTCTCGGTGTATATACACGTCTTAGTCTAAATACACCGAAAGATACCCACGTCATGGTGTATAAGAGGTACACATCTTTCAGTTTATATACGTACACTGAGATTTTAACTAATAATTGCTGCTGGCAGCGAGTAATCAAGGATATATGCACCGCGAGGTTCATATATCCTTTAATGTATATACACTGATAGTTTACTGTAATCGCGGTTTATGGATTAAAATATTCTTTACTAGTGATGAACGGGTTACTGCAGCCTTAATGACATCGAGTGTGGTTGACGGGCTTTAAACGCAATTAACCCACCAGCGGGTAGTTTACGGAACACCTGATGGTCACTGAGTGCGCAGGACCGTTAAGAAATCTATTGCAGTGGCTTTATCAGACAACAGTGACTAGAGGCAAGATGACACCTCCAGTCTCAACTTTATGAATAAAGAGGTAACTAAATGTGTACTTAACTGATTACATAACTAACACACCAGGCTTCTCTGATTAGTTGGTTTTACCTCTGTGCGCGCCTATTTAAAAATTTCTAATCCTATCGCAGCCTCCGTTTAACCAAAAATAAGCCTCGGTTTGGTCCACCACATAGTCAAGACTCGTCCTAAAATTAAATGAAGCAAATCAATGATTTTCTGCATTTATTAAAGATGCTTTAGAAAATTATCTAATTTGATTGTGTGTAGGAATATGCTAAATTCTCACCGAGTTAATATCTGTCAAACTAGGTTATCACAGTTGATCGAGTGCTTACCGATTCATTCCTGATTACATTCCTGATTACATACAAGACTTTGAGGCAAGGATATGAACAACATACACGTAAATATATATAATAATAATAATAATAATAATCTTTATTTCTACAAGTACATGTCCTAGCTGACATAAAAACATAAGAAATAAAAAACGAAGGAAAACCTGCAGAAGGGGGCCTACGGGCCCATGCGAGGCAGGTCCCAAGTCCCTCCCGGGCTTAAGCCAATGCACCCAACAGTAGGTCAGGTCAAATTGAGTTAAGGTAGGAACACGGCAACCGCCCTTTAGCACAAGCTACCCGGGTCTAATCACACCCACCCACATTACTCATTTTTTTACCAACCTTTTTTTTAAAGCTACACAACGTTCGGGCCTTATAAGGTTTGGGAGTTTTTCACTAAACCACAACTTTTTTTACCAAACCGTACTTTCCTAAACCCCCTCCTGAATCTGAATTTTTTCCCAACTTAAAAACCATTCGGAGCCCTGTAGGTAGAAATTTTCAGCACACATTTAATCCCCTTTATTTTTTCCCTGTTTTCCCTTATAAACCTCAACATATCCCCCCCGATTTACGTCTTTTTAGAGAGTGCGTTTTTAGGGCCCCTTAGTCTTCCTCATAGGGGAAAGGGTTTCTGATACATGGGATCTCTTTGCATCCCCTTTGTAATTTTCCAGAGAATTTATATCCTTCTTAAAACGGGACCAAACTGTGCAGCATAATCTAAATGAGGCCTAACCAAGGGGTTTAAAAGATTGAAGAACAACCTGAGGGGTCCCTTTTTTTATGCTTCTGATATAAGCCAAGGATTTATTTTCTTTATTGCGAAACTTAGCACTGTTGTCTTGGTTTCAATTA